TAACGAAGTTATTGCTTTGTTCATCTCTTTTAACAGATCAATTGCGTGTTATTGTTGCTAAATTCAGTGTATTACTTATAGATTTGTTGTCAATTTTTAAACCATATTGCAAAAATAATAGTGTTAATAATAATAATAATAACAATAATAACAATATTTTTTTCTTTATTCTTTCCTGCTGTTATTAAGGTTTAGAAAAAAATTTTTTTAAAGCTTTTATTTTGTCATAGTTTTCAGTTTATTGATCTCTTTAATGCAGTTAACTGAACTGTATTGTTGTTTTGCATCAATAATTTATGATGAGCTGCTTGTTGACCAACAATATTTGGTGTCTCTAAGAAAAGGAATAGTTGGGCGTATAACCTGCAGTGAAAATCGTCGGGCTTTTGTCGTTAACTATCTAATTAGTGTCGTCGGTGATCCAGAGAATTTGACGTTTGTTTTGATGATCAAAAATGAAACAGAATCCATTGAAAGCAATGTTGCTTTTTGAATAAATGATTAAAAAATAAAGTAATGTGAAAAATTTTCTTCTCCTGTCTTCTGATTCTTTGCTAAATATTTAATCATTGCCATCGTCATTTTTCATCATCTTCTTTACTACCATTATCATCTTCGTCATTGTTGTCATCGTTCGTTCGTATCTTTCTTTTATCTTACCTTATCTTTCTTTTTCTTTTCGCCTTCTTCGTTTTATTATTATTATCAATTTGTTGCTGTTGTGTTCAAAATTAGCAAAGTGTGAATGAAGCCTGAGTTAAGAAAACAAAATTAATTTTTCTCATGTAAATGTAGACGTATAAATTGAAGCAAAAGGTAACTGGTGTAAATGAATAATAATTACTGCGGTAACGATCTTTGCTATAACTTTTATTTGTTATTTTAACAATTGTTTTGTTTTTATACTTTTTTTTGACATTAAAATAATGAAAATAATTTTGACTTACTGATAACCGTAGATACATTAGAGCCGAAAATAGCTGTAGTTGAAGGAAAGCTGAATGAAAAAAATGATCATTAAATTTTTTTGCAGTTATTTTTTTCCTATGTGAGTTATTACTAAAATATTCAGCATAATTTCTAGTAGTATAAGCACAAAAGTTAAAATAAATGACTGTTTAGCAGAGACTGTAAAAAATAAAAAACAGTTTATTGAAAACAAAGATGATATTTGTGTTAACGTCAACATTTGTTTTATAATGCGTCATTCGAATTGGTAGCTTTAAAAAAGGGCTAAATGTTACAACTTGATTCATATTTTCTTCTTTTTTTTTTTTTGTTTTTCAGGAATACCAGAAAAGAAGGCGAAGGAGAAGAGCAAGAAGAAGCGAAATAAAAATACAGTTAAAGAAAGACGAAAAGAAAATATGAAGAAAACGACAAAATTTTTCGACAGCATTACAACTGTTATCAGAACCTCAGTATTTTAATTCCAAAAAAATTTTTTTAAAACAAACTATATTTCGATACCTTACTGCTAAAATTTAATACCACAGTCTTCTGGTCTACAGGTCTACGAAGTGGCATCGCGCAGTATTTGGTGCCTTTTATGGCAGCAAAACCATCAGCTAAAACTGTGATCAGTTAAAAAAATTCTGATTATCAGAAAACTGGGACTTTAGCTATAGTCTTTCTGTATTTTTTTTCTTATTTTTTATTTGCTTTTTTATTTGCTATTTTTCTGCCCTCTTTTAAAGAGCCTTCAATAGTATTCGATGAAGTAAAATTTTCCTAGCATTAAACACTGCAATCAACATTCCGAATGTTGTATTCTCATCACACTGCCATATTGCTGACTGCCACCATAGTACTGTTGACAAAGCCCTAAGATGCGTATAGAAAAATGCCTATTAATTTTGTTTCTTAGAAGTTTACCAATTTTTTGTGATATTTCTATTGACTTTACTGTTGTTGATCCAGCCTGTGATAGGCTGATACCAACATATAACAACAATCAAGTGATGCCTTTTGGAAGTTCCAAGTTCCGAATTCGAGTATTCGACTTGAATGGAATAGAAACATTCGAATACAGCAACCGTCCACTTCTTGGTAAGTTGGACGTTTGACGATGACAGGGGAAAAAAAAAAACAAAGTAACAGCTGTAATAAAAAACAAATAATTGATGATTATTTCATAAATTTTTTTTTTTTTTTTTTTTT